CCGAGGAGGAGGCCGAGGAGGAGGCCGAGGAGGAGACTGAGGAGGAGGCCGAGGAGGAGGCCGAGGAGGAGACTGAGGAGGAGGCCGAGGAGGAGGCCGAGGAGGAGACTGAGGAGGAGGCCGAGGAGGAGGCCGAGGAGGAGACTGAGGAGGAGGCCGAGGAGGAGGCCGAGGAGGAGACTGAGGAGGAGGCCGAGGAGGAGGCCGAGGAGGAGACTGAGGAGGAGGCCGAGGAGGAGGCCGAGGAGGAGACTGAGGAGGAGGCCGAGGAGGAGGCCGAGGAGGAGACTGAGGAGGAGGCCGAGGAGGAGGCCGAGGAGGAGACTGAGGAGGAGGCCGAGGAGGAGGCCGAGGAGGAGACTGAGGAGGAGGCCGAGGAGGAGGCCGAGGAGGAGACTGAGGAGGAGGCCGAGGAGGAGGCCGAGGAGGAGACTGAGGAGGAGGCCGAGGAGGAGGCCGAGGAGGAGACTGAGGAGGAGGCCGAGGAGGAGGCCGAGGAGGAGACTGAGGAGGAGGCCGAGGAGGAGGCCGAGGAGGAGACTGAGGAGGAGGCCGAGGAGGAGGCCGAGGAGGAGGCCGGGGAGGAGGTCGAGGAGGAGACCGAGGAGGAGGTCGAGGAGGAGGCCCAGGAGGAGGCCGAGGAGGAGACCAAGGAGGAGGTCGAGGAGGAGGTCGAGGAGGAGATCGAGGAGGAGGCCGAGGAGGAGACCGAGGAGGAGACCGAGGAGGAGGCCGAAGGGGAGGCCGAGGGGGAGGCCGAGGAGGAGGCCGAGGAGGAGTCTGAGGAGGAATGGTGGTATATAAGCAGACCCTGGTTTTTTTATCAGCCTCCGTCCCGATCCTGTTCCTTTGGGGAGCGCTGCATGTGTTCCTGTTGTTCGTTCTGGTGGTGACCGGAGCTCCAGGCGCAGTGTCTCTCCTGCTTTCTGCAGCCCCAGGCAGACCCTGGCCATCCTCCTAGCTGCTGGGAAGGGGAGATAACACTGCAGAGTCCCTGGGGGCTTGTGCTGGGAGTGGAGATGGAGGTTTCATGGTTTCGTTGGCACCTGCTGAGCGGCTCCTCCTCCTAGAAGACAGGACAGAGAGCGGCCTCCTGGTGAGAAGAGAAACGCCTCAAGCAGGAAAGGGCGAGTTTACAGACTGGGCGAGGTCATAGTGTGCAGGCAAAGGCTCGCTGGCCCTGATTTGTGGGGGAGAAAAGCAGCCCTCACTCTGCACTAGTAACCCTCCTAGGTATGAATTAATCCAGAAATACTTGCTGCAGGGCCTGGCTCCCAGAAGAGGACACACGCGGTGAAGGATACAGAGAGTACCAGGTCCCTGTTCCAGGTCCCTGCCTCCCATACAACTGGCCCCATCTCCTTGAGGACGGGCCTGTGTGCTGCTCACCAGGCAGGGCCTGGCCCATGGAAGGTGCCAAGGAAAGGCTGACCAACTGGATGAATTAGACGGNATACAACTGGCCCCATCTCCTTGAGGACGGGCCTGTGTGCTGCTCACCGGGCAGGGCCTGGCCCATGGAAGGTGCCAAGGAAAGGCTGACCAACTGGATGAATTAGACGGGAAATGGTGCCAAGCTGGTAGCAACAACCACAAGCTCTTCGGCGTTCACATAAGTAAGACTCAGAACGGTGAGCGAGAACCTCCAGGTGGTTGCAGGTGGGGAGCTGCCAGAGAGATGCAATTTAAGCTGCATCTTGAAGGATCTGGATTGTTGGGAGCTGATGAGAGAGAGGGTGTGTCCGGCAGTGCAGGGTGGAGACCGAGCACAGCTGCGTTGGCATGAGGTCGACATGGTTCCAATGCTGGCTCAACTTTTAACAGCTGTGTGGTTTGGGTACGTCAACCTTCCTGAATTTCATTTCTCCATATGTAAGATGGGGAGAAATAGTACGTACCTCATAGAATTGTTGTAAGGATCACCTAAGATATCTCCCATAAAGCACTTATCACAGTGCCTGGCATACAGTAGATGCTCAGTAAATGGTGGCAGCTTTTACAAAGACATAAAACAGGAAAGCACAGCACGTTGGAGTGAGAGACAGCAAATTCTGTGTTGCTGGGGAAAAATGGAGTGTACGTAGGGAATAGAAGGCTTCATGTTTTTTTTTCTTTTTTCGTGTCCGGCAACGGATCGCAACCCTCAGTGTCGCCCCCGTACCG